GGTTATAGAGTGACCACTCAGCTTCCTGTGTGCCAGAATCCAGTTTGCAGCTGCCAATTGTCTTCAAAAGGAAGAATTAAACACTTTTAATTTTACATTTAGTAATAAATATTTCCAAACATAGTAATAAAATAAAGTAGCAATAAATTAGCAATGCAGCTCCATATTAAAGCATTTATATGCCTCTATATCTAGACCAATAGCAGTTTACCTTGAGAAAATAAGTAGCAGATGCTAACTAAACTGAACTGATACGAAGCCCTATAAAGCAGGAAATTGAATAGCCATTTAAAATAAAACTCTCATGGTTTAGACAATGCCAGCTATACATTCTAGACCTCAGATTTACTTGCCATGACAGTCAACAGTCACCTTCCACTGTCCAGATGACCCATAAACATTCCCTGCAGAGCATATACACAAGGTAAAGTGAAAGAACTGGCTGTTCAAAGGAATTTTCCAGAGACAACAGATTTTCTCCAGCTTCTCATCTGTTAAACCTACTCCTGTTCTCCAGAGCTCTAAAGGAGAACAATGACAGCAGATGAGCTTTTATTCTTCTGGTTGATATCTGAACTAATGGCCTAAGACATTCAGCAGAATTATAGAGCAGTAAGTGGCTCACCTCCAAGCACTGGAATTAATCCTAGGATCCTGACAGCTCCTCATTACGAGGTCCAATGGCCTCCAAAAAGATGACTGAGGCTGTGAGCCAGGAAGCACTGAGTCATGAAGCACATCATCACGGGTGTAAGGACTCGGGCTGCTGGCATGGCCCCTCACACACCCCCTGCACCGGCACCCACCTGGCCAGCAGCAGCTCTCTCAGCAGCTGGCACCACACAGCCACCACGCAGGATACCTGCTGCAATCAGTGAAGCTTCACAAACTTCTGTCAGCATCAGGCGTTTCTGCAGCAAGATACCGAATATGAGATGGTAACAAACGACACGTCTGGCTTTGCTGCCTGTTCTCTGCAGGGGACACTGGGGTTCTCACTGAGGAGTGGCAAACCCAGGGCTAACAGATTTTCACAGGATTGCCACACGCTACTTGAATCTTGGATGCGACTGTACTGTCATCTTCCGAAGGACCGTCACTCACAGGGCCGGCCAAAACCATCCAATGACACCATCTCACTCATACAGACTGATGTCATCCCTTAGTGCCTGCTTAAACCCTAAACCAAAAATCAGACACATGCAAGACAGGCAAGCTCCCTTAGCAGCCACACCAGGTAGGGGAGATTGAACACAGAGTACCAGAGCACGGGAACAACGCTGGGGAATGTGAGCCTTGTGCTCATTGAAATAAGAAACTGGATCTCATGTTTCTCCAGCTGCAGCTCCAAACTCAGGAACTTCCAAAAATTCAGCTGCATTCTCTAGGAGGACAAAGTGCTAGCACTTGAGGCAGGAATGCCTTGCTGTCAGTTCTCCTAACAGTGCTCATGGGCATTTTTCACAAGAGTTTGTCTCATCTGCTGGACCTACCCCAGCTACCACCAACTTACTGCTGCATGGAAAGGGAAACAACATGAAACCAAGTAAGCCTGCAAGATGATTAAAAAAGAAAAGCAAGACTCTGAGGCTGATGTAAAAATCTATTGCAAGGGAATAAATTTCTCTCTCTTCTCTCACAGAAGAGAGAGCTTGACTCTAGCCCTAGAACAAGCATGCTCCAAGTTACCAGCCATGCCATCACAGCAAAAGCAGTGTTGTCATCTACATCTTGTCAGTAATGGACTACAATTTTTGGGAACTGCAATACATCTGAGCTGGATGTGCAATTTTTACCCACCTTTTCCATTTCTGTTACCACCACCTTGCTGTTATCCTGGTTATTATCCTCCTCACCTACGGCACGAGCAAGAACCATACAATCACTAAACATCATCAGGCAGTTTGTAAACATTGCGCCAGTTCGGAGCAGTTCTGACAGTTAAGGTATAACTACAGAGTAAACATGAACTGTACTCTTTCAAAGGCAGAAAGAAAGATCTCAAGAGATGATAAAGCATCTGGGAAAGGAAGAGTGGAGAAAGACAAACAAATCTCTACAGAGAACTTTGAATAGATGATTATTTTTTTCCTTTGCTCCCTTTCATTCAGGCTATTAATTTCAGGAGCAAAAGTCCATCAGGAGATTTGAGATAAGCAGAGCTCCACTTTTTAAACATATCTAGCATTTATTTGGCCACTCACAGAACACCACAGAAATCCTCAGAAAGCAAGTCAGTGTTTTTAAGTACACAACTTGAGGACTTTATACAGAGCACCAGGAAAAGATACCTTTCAGGCAGTTTCAGAAATAAATTGCTTGTGAAACGAGCTAATAATAGAAAGGAGTACAGAAAAGAAAGTAGTATTAGCTAGAGACAGGATAATTACAAGAAGTTACTGTCTTGTCTTCTGTAGCAGTAAAACCAGACAGTTTCTCCACTAAAAGCCCATGGGTTCAATATGCAGTCCAAACCAGGTCATAAATCCAGTTAGCATCTTGGACTAGCACCATTGTATATCATCCACAAATACCAGAGTTTTCATTTGAGGTATTAAAAAGTGTTTCTAAAGGATCTGGTAACCAAGGAACATCAAGAACATGGGCTAGGCAACTAATTCAATATTTAAGTAATTCACCTAATTCAATAATTAACATGCAGCTGTGGCTGTCACATCTAAGCATTTAATTCCTTGTCTCATCATCTCGTGGCAACTCCCGTGGGGCAGACAGGACTGACTTCCAAAGATTCAGGAATACAGCAACTGTAATCAGGCCTTGCTGGTTTATTTTTTGGGGGGTTTTTTGTTGTTTGGTTTTTTTTTTTTAACAGGTTATACATAAAAGAAGACACTCATGAATCGCAAGCAGCCCTCCTGGCAACAGATGTATGCAGGTAATTAAAGTCCTCCTTCTCCCAGGTGAAGAGCTGTCCTGTCTCTTTACCCTCCTGAGGGATCCTCTTTTCTCTCCATCCAGTATGACATCCATCCCTACCAGGTGTGTCCATGTCCTCTGAAACCACCGCCAGCTACAAGCCCTCAACTCCCTTTCCCCAGAGTCTCTCCAGCTGGGACACCCTGGCACACAAATCCAGTCCATGTCAGATGCAGGGGCCTGAGAGCTGGCACTGAAGAAAGAGGGAATGCCCCTGGACAGATGGGGCTGTGGCAACCCCAGCATCCAGTCAGCCATTCACATCTTCTTCACTGCATGCAATATACTGTTTCCACAGATATAACCCACTGATTATGCAAGAATTTACACAGGAGAACCTGAAAACCTTTAACTACTGCATTGTGGCAGCAAGAACAAAGCAGTGTGAGAGTTACTACCTCACAGAAACCACTTGTCCTGATGACATGGACTTTGAAACTCCCAAGATTCAGGAAGGGATAGATGAGCGTAGAGCCACTCCAAGTCATCAGGAGGAGATGCAGGGGCAGCACTTAAGCACCTTTCCACAAACACCTGCAGCTAACAGCAAGAAAATACCACTGCCACAGAGAATTTATGGCCAAGGAATTTGCTATGTGTATGAAACTCCTAAACCTACTTATTTGCAAATACATCAAGGCAACTCCAGTTCATTTAGCAACAGAGCAGTGGGCCTGGGAGTCGGCATGAGAGAGGTCCAAATTCACTTTTTTCATCTCCTGGCAGGTTGGACAAGGCCCTCCTTGTAAAAATGGATTTTCCATTTCCAGTTTCAAAAAAAAGGAGCAGAGAGAGTCTATAATTCTAGCACCTCATTGAAAGAAACACTATTCAAACCATTACTCCCATCTCCATTTTGGGGGGTTGGTGAACCCAAATTTCACGTTTCAGAAGTTAGTGTCCTAATTCTATGGAAACAAACTCTTCTGCTTCTATCTCCAAGTTTCATGTAGTCTCTCTCAGGACACATTCACCCTTCATATATAGGTAGTTGTGCCTTACTTTGTGAAACCCAAAACAGTTGCTCAAGGTGAACAGCTGCATTCATGGAGCATTAACTTGGACAGTATTTTAGTATCAACACTGCCACATTAACTACGTCACTGTTCAAAAGAAAGCAGCAACAACAAAACTTCTTGTGAATTATCTGCATAGTTTACCCAAAATAGATCTTACTGTAGTTCAGAAATGAACAGACTGAAGAACTACATCTTCTAGTTGACAAGGAGTCAAGCAGCAGCTGATGAAGAGTTTTAGATGCTTGAAACGGGAATCCGGGCACTGAATGCGAAACAGGGAAGGAGTGGTAGAGTTGCAGCATTCACAGCTGGTCCGTGTTTATTTTGCAGGTAGAGTTTGGAAGCCCATTATCACACCTGCTTTCCAAAAGGCACCACAAAGTGATCTACTAATGAATTCAAGTCATTACTGTAAGAGAAAAAGCAGGTCGTCCGACCTGTACACATGGGTTGCATCATGCCCTTCCCTGTTCCCTTCTGATACACAAGGGAATTACAGACCGTGCCGGGAAACGCCGCGACCTGCCCGGCCAGCGGGAAGCGCAGGGAGCTCAGCCTGTCTCCATCGGCACCCCGGCTGCGATGAGCAGAGATGAGCCGCTCACCGCCCAGGCCCGGGCGGCAGCGGGGCCGGTGCGGGGACAGCGCAGCACCGCGGCAGGTGCACCCCGGACGGAGAGACCCGCGGGGAACAGAACTACTCCTTCCCGGCCGCTGCCCGCGGGAAAACCCGCACCCCGGGATGACGGGACAGGGCTCCTCCAGGCCCCTCAGCAGGCAAGTCCCGCTCGCACCGACCGCCTCATTTCGGGGGCGCCAGCGATGGGTATGAGCGGAGAAGCCAAAGCTGCCTCCCCGGCGGGGCCGGGATGCAGCCGGGCTGCGGCACCGCACAGCGCTCCCCGGCGCCCGCTCGCAGCCCGGCCCCTCCATCCCTCCTCCCGGTCCCCAGCCCGCGCAGGCGGCGGGATGCGGGGGGACCCTCCCGGGGTGCCCCTGAGCGCACGGCTGTGCTGAGTCACGGCCAGGCCCCCCAGTACTCACCTGCGGGCCGGGGCCGCTCTGCTCCCCGCCGGGGGGGCCGCGCCCGGCGGCTGCTCGGCAGCGCAGCGCGGCCGCCCCATTGCAGGCGCCGCGGTCCCGGGACCCGTCCGCGGGGTCGCTGCTGCCGCCGCCCTCCTCGCCGGTGGGGAAGAGCCCGCAGGAGCGCTGGAAGCGCGCCACGGGCTGGGAGCTGCGCAGGGTGCCCAGCAGCCGGGCCATGCTGCCGGCAGCCTCCGCGCAGCGCGACCCCAGCGCGCCCCGCCGGCCGCGGGACCGCGGGCAGGTGCGCCCGCCCCGCCCCGCACAGGTGCGCCAGCCCCGCCCCGCCCCGCACAGGTGCGGGGCCCCGCCCAGGAGCGCCCCTTGCCGGCCGGGCCGTGCGCTTCCCTATCCCCCCCGGCTCCCACCCCGCAGGTTCCCGCCTGGCGGGGGCAGAAATTTCAGAGCCTTCCTCTTCTTTGGAGTTTTTCCGTGACGTGATGACCCCGGTAAAAAAAAAAAAAAAAAAAAAAACAAAAAAAACCAAAAAACAAAAAACACACACACAATAAAAAAACAAACAAAAAACCCACCAAACAAAAGAACGTAATCTACCTCGAGATAAGCGCGGCTGCTTTCTTAACCTAAAGACAGAATGCCCTGAATCACATAGAGATCTTTGGGAAATGTGGATGTCGGGCCACGTGAGCTCATTTCCTGTCAATTCACCCCTTGGGTGTAAAATGTACCCTGGGTTGTCCCTGGCTTCATTTTGTCCTGTATTGGAGTCAGCTTTCATTTCTTTTCCCAAATATTTGCACACCTATATTGTATACATCACATGTACACACACACCTATAAGGATACATCTCTAAGTATTTCCTCCCTTAAATACAGCTATGAAGTTTCCCACAGAAAGAGAGGAGTTATCACTTGGAAGATGCTTCTCAGTCTCTGGGGCTGCAAACCTTGCCACTGAAACTTGCTAATTCTTGCTGTTGAAACATTAAGGACCTTAGTTCTGTAAGTGCATTTTTTATTTTTTTTTTTTAGAACAGCCCATTTCTATTCCCATAAATTATTTTGTACAAGGATTGCACAATCGTCATTTGCTCAATGTAGACTCATTTCAACTTTGTTACCTTTTTATTTTTTGCTCTCACATACACCAGATTATCCAAGATTGCATCAAGGCTTTTCTTTCCAGAGCCCTTGGAAACCAAAGGAATGCTCTTTCACTTTATAGCAAGTCAGTTTGCCGCTGTGCCACTGTCTGGGCTGCCTGTGGGAGATGGTCACCCAGGCCCTGTGAGTGCCTGTGCTCTCGAGATGGCAGAGTCACCTCACCACCCAGTCTGGGCCAGGGCCAGGCCAGCCCACGGCCGAGGGCCACGTGGCCTCTGTGAGGAATCCCAGGGACAGGTCTCCATCACCACCAACCACACTCCAGGGCAGACTCCATAGATCTCATCTAATTGTTTGTGTGACTCATTTTCTCTTATCTTCTCACAATGCAGCCTTCTATCATTAGGGGTTTGCCCAACCAGGTGCCATCACATTTCAGTGCTTTCCTCATCACTGTGCGTGCACACACTCCTCCCTGGCCGTGATGACAGGGCTGCAGCTCAGCTCTCTGCAGAACCAGTTCACACAGACTGAGGAGGGAGGCTGCCCACTCCCACTGGGTTATATGTTTGCACTGTTTCTTGAGGAATTATTCATTATTGGCTTCTGGATTTGTTTTTCAATGGTTGTTACTAGGTGCACACATAAGTATCTGGGAAACTTTTCTGTTCTTTTTCCTGTGTCTTGGATCTGTGAAACTTCCACAAGCATGGAATTTCAATTAAAAATTGCATTCATATTGCTTAATTCCTTCTACATAGACTGACCTCAATAGAGCTGGATGGATTCAATCCATACTCCCTTCATGGTTGTTTTCATTGCATTAAAAAAACTGTCCTCGTAACTATTCCATTCTTATTTTGTCCACCTATATGACAACATGTACAAGTGTTTTAACATGTTAATTTGAAGAGTAAAATTACAGCCCTGCTGGTGCCACCTGCAGCTGATGCCAGTGGGACAGGACATCATCCAGAGACACAGTGGAAAGCAGAAAAGCAGGAATGAAAGTGCATGACCAGGGCCACCACTCAATAGGTATTTTAAAACATCTCTTTGTCGACCACAAGTCAATATTTATCTGATCTGCCTACATACTTATGTCATTATAATACTTCCCAAGTATTAAAATAGAACTAACCATTTGCAGCCAGCTTCTCCCTAATTCCTCTTCAGGCACACACTTAGGTTAGTGGAAGTGTGCCTCAGGGAGGATATCCATGTCCAGCTGATAAAAATTGAGGATGACTGAGGTTTTTTTAATCAAACTTACTCTAAACTTATTAGAGAGGGAAAAAAAAAGGAGGGGGGATTTTTACTTATTGTTAATTTTAATATGCCTTGTCCATGTCTTGGAATCAACATGAGCAATTACAAGTGCTACATGAGCTGATAATGGAAGTCTGTGACCCTTTTTTTTTGCTGTGGGAAGTGAAGGGATTTGTGAGGGTTATGTTCCTAATATAAACTGATTTCTGGAATGAAACATTTCAGGTCCTGTTTCATAGAACCAGAGAATATGCTGAGGTGGAAGGGACCCACAAGGATCATCAAAGTCCAACTCCTGGCCCTGCACAGGACAGCCCCAAAGTCACACCATGTGCCTGTTAGCATTGTCTAAACACTTCTTGAACTCTGTTATGCTTGGTGCTGTGACCACTTCTCTAGGGATCCTGTTCCAGTTCTCAGCCACACTCTGTGTGAAAAACCTTTACTTATATCCAGCCCAAACCTTCCCTGGCACAGCCTCATGCCACTCCCTTGGGTCCTATTACTAGTCACCAGAGAGAAGAGATCAGTGTCTGTCCCTCCATTTCCCCTCATGAGGATGTTGAAGACCACGAGGTCTCCCCTCAGTCTCCTCCAGGCTGAACAGACCAAGTGATCTCAGCCGCTCCTCACAGGGCTTCCCTGCTAGACCCCTCACCATCTGTAGGTTTAGGACACAAAGAAAACTCACTAATGGCTTTTGGATGTTTTCTTAGGAAGATAATGATCAATCTAACTAAACTGCCTTTACCACCTCTCCTCAACTGATTTTTGAACCAACTGGCAAATTCTAACCACATTCATCATGGGAGCAGAGGTTTCCCCCGACTTGCAGTCCTGCAAGGAGAAATGGCAGTGGAATAACAGACAAAGACATAACTTGAGCTTCCTGATGCCCCCACTCAGCACACACTTATTTCCAGGTGGGCTGCTGGCAGTTCCACCTCTTGCCTGTCCAGTACCAAACAGATACAGGCACGGCTGCAGGATACAGCAACATGGTTATGGGGGACCAGGAACAGGGAAACAGAGATACTTCCAGGATGAAATAGAGGATTGTAGGAAGGATCACAGCACATCAGAAGGAGGTGTTTGGACCAAAGAGAAGATGGAGGGTTTGAGGAGGGAACCAAGGGCAGAAGACTGACTATTGCAGAGGAAAATGCCTAGTAATGTGAAAACATAAAAATCTATAGAAACCTTCTTTTATCATTTCCACTGCTCACAGAACAACTTGTTTACACTTGCTCAAAGCAATCCCTCTTCTATTCCCTTTATGGAACAATGTTCTAACCCCCTTTTCCTGAGACCTACCTCCCATTACTTCTGATGGAAAAGAAAAATACTCAGGATTTGGCTCCTTGAAAGATTTGCTTTAAAAAAAAACCCACCAAAATATAACAACTAAAAAAAAATCAAGAACTGTCCCACACTTCATGTGGCCCATAGAGATTTCCTGACATTCAGAAAGGCAGCTTTCTTTAAAACCAGTGGAACCAATGTCACTCCAAAAGACTAGACAAGTAGCATTCTGAGAGTGTTTAAAAGAAGCTATTTACAAACTGTCCAGTTCCAAAAAAAAGGTTTTTAAAGCTTTATCTAGTTAAACTGCCTCATCCAGGGCCAGAAAATCTCACTAATAGCTGGTCAGCATTCAGCTACATTTTCACAAGGGAACAAAATCACCCCTGGGCTGAGGATAAGCGTGAAAGATGAGAATATAAAGGATAATTTTTGAGAAAGCTGAAAATAGCGCCTTGTGCTGAAGGCATTTCCTTTAACAACAACGGGTGTCACTGTCATGACGGTGGATAATTTTGCCTCCAGCATCAACACAGCTAAGAGCGAAGTACAAGTTCCACGACCGGGGGTGGATGATGATGCTGGGAGAACACAGCACAGTTTTCAGATGTCAGCCTGAGTTTGCAATCCTGACAGGCCAGACAAGCCTTGTTTTGACTCGTAAGCTGAGGGAATGGGCCTGGAGGAGCAAAATAGAAGCACAACTTTTGCCATCGCTCTACAGACAGCAACCACATTTCACTGAGGAAAATCACGCTTGGAGTTACTTCAGCTGAAAGCCCTTTGAGGCGACTGTAGGTTGTTAGTTATAAATACAAATGTCAGAACTGCAGTTTTCCAAACAAAAAAACCACTGAAATGACATGAGCATGGACAAATCGACGACTTTGCTAAAACTGCTGCGGAGCAGGCAGAGAGCCACTGCATGATGAGATATCTCTGGTACCAGGGGAGAGGCCTTACTAGTGTCTTCAGTAACTGGAGGGGTGATGAAGGTTTGCCAGGGCAGCAAACACCATCAGACTGTGACCTGGGACCACCAAGCTTGGCAGTGGGATGTGGGCTGTGCCAAAGGGAGGGGTGAGACTCAACTTACAGTTTCCTGAGAGTCCTCTTCTTCCCCATTTGAAGACACTTACGGATAGACACAGAAATCCTTTGGCCAGTTGGTGAAGACAGAAATCTCACCAACTCATCAAGTGTCACAGCACATTTTATTTAAACAGGTTTGAACAAATTTTCTTTTCAGCTTTGTCGCATGTGTTTTCATTATTCTGTCATTTTCTCAACATACTTAGAGCCCAGCTCTTCCTTTCATCTTTGCTGGTTTTTGGCAATTTGCAATTTTTTACCATTATACTGCGAAAGAAACCATTAAAATTTGTATGCTTTAATAACTCAAGTTACAAGTCTTCTTTTTATGAGTCTTTTGCTTCTTCATTATATTTATTTGACAAGCTATTGAACACATTAGTTTGGATCTGAGCCTTTCAGTACTGAATGTCAGACCCAACCACCCACTAACCTCACAGGCAACAAAATGA